TTTTGTCTTAGAAATTCTGGATGGAAGTGCTATATGTAACATTAACTTACATTGTAGTTATGAGACTACAGTATTACTGATTACATTCTTACCTCTATTCAAAAATAACCTAACTTCTTAGGTACAGTTTTGTAAGCAAAGAGTAAATGAGATGGCATAACATTTGTCTATTGCCTATGAGAGAGATGTTTATCATCCCTTTGCATTTACAAATTCTTTCAGCTTGATAATTTGATGAAGCATTTAAAGATGAAAATTGCATCCTGTATTGACACTCATCTAAATAGTTGGTCATTTAAATGGTATGAGCAAGCTATAAACTTCTGAATGATCACGGTGTAGCTGTGGAGTTCAGTATCGGTATGTTGAAAAAGGTTGGGAAAATTGATTTTTCACTGACATCCAGCATCTGCTAGGCTTTCAGAACAGCAAGGCTGAGGTAAGGAGAGGCTATGAGACACAACATAATTTTCTGCTGCATTGTATTTCCAGAGCACACTTCCAATATTGAATTGAAAATAGTGGTGGGGTTATGCTCTGCAGTGGCTCATACACTGATGCATATAAATGAACTTAAGCCTGTTCTGTGAAATCAATATGTATAGACTTTGTCCTGTGAAAGTCAGGCATTCATAGCCCCACATCAAAATGTTTTATTAATTTTAAAGTGAATGGACATCTTGTGTCCTCTTCTTTTTTATTTAATAATAAAACACTAAGGAAATTACTTCCCACTTTTTCCCAAGGTAGTCATTCCTGTTCTGTTGCATCTTAATCTCAACAAGTATTTCATAAATAGTCTGGGGGGTGCTTACCTTTTAAAAAAAAAAAAGGTACCTTTTTCTATGTTCTATGACACAGTTTAGCAGTTTAGCTCTACCTCTTTCAATATAAATTACTCTGAATGTATGCCTGTCACTGACAAGCAAGTAGTATTATCTGCTTTGTCTTGCTCCTGATTTAAGTAACTGCTAAGGTTTGCAGGAACTAGGAAAACAGAGCTATTAATTAGATCAAATTAAAATGCACTTGCTTTAATATGGTATAGCTAGTTGGTTAAAAATTCCCTTTCTCCTAGGCACAACTGTTAATTTTTCTCCCTTGCAGCCAGCTTCCCTGGTAATAAATGTCTTTTCATTATCAGCAATTTTCTTCTAACCTCTGTGTCATTTAGCTGATTTTTGTCCTTCTGATGTTTTGTGTTCCTGTAGATCTTTGGCTCTTCACATGTATTATCAAGTTTTAATTTGAGGGAGAGGCAGAAAGGGATAAAGTAGCTGTGCTGGGTATACAAAGATGCTTGGCTTTGTGAGTGTACTTTTTGGTGTGGGGGGTGTTTGAGAGGTTGAAAGATTGTTTACCCGCGCTGCAGCTAGCGTGAGATACTGGTGGTATTACCATTTGGTGAAACTTGGAGTTGCCAGAAAGAAAAAAATCAAGGAAACTCTTCATCTGCTTTGGGTTGATAAATAAAACCAGTTTACTTTCAGAAAGCTTGTGACTGTGCCAAAGTTAATAAAAAGATGAGATTAACTTTGCTTGTTATGTTCAAAGGCACTTTTCTTCCAAAAACAGCTTTCCATCAGATACTGCTAGAATACTGGAAGTCTCCTCGCCATCAGTCATACGTGCTGTAGTCTGCGGTCGGTGTCCCTGCATGGGAGCCAAATGTTCAGAGATACCTAAGTGTCTTTGGTCCCAGCTGTCCCTTGTTTCTTTTATGTGGTCTGGCCCTGGGGGAGGAGGGAAGGGTGAAATGCTGGGAATCACCTCAGAGGTTTCTAGTCTTTTCAGTAGAGAGTGTTGTCATTGTTAAGTCATCCGCTATTGAGATCTGCTTGGATTGAAAGGAAGCTCAAGAGGATGAGAGTCTGTATGGACAAACTGTAAGAAAGCTTTTGGTAAAATTTTTTTCCTCTGTACTGTCTAATTATGCCCTTTCCCCATATCTGCTCATCAGCAGTTTGCCATGATTGCAAGTACTAGCAGTGGTTAGAGTTCATCGCTGCCTTTCTTAGCGCTAGATGTTGCAGTACCAGCTCTTGTTTTCCTTCTGACATTCTTTCAAAAAAGACTGGTTGGTTTGTGAAGAACGGGTCTTTAGAAATCTTACCACTTCTTTGTGCAACACTTTGAATGGATGAGAAAATATCTGATGCTGAAAGAAAGTAGATTTGCATGAGGTAAATCCTGTAAAAGTGTTACGATGGCCAGCTTCCGTCAGTAGTTGGATGTTTTTCTGATCTGCTCAAAGACAAATTGCACAAGAGTTACCTCATGTTGCAGCAAACCTACAGCAACGTTTCTTCTGCTGAGATGCAAAACCAACAGACTCTCTGTCTTGGATGAGCCATGACTTTAAAACATCTTGTCTTATTAATTAACTTCAGTTCTGGGCGTTAAGATCCAGAACTAAAGTAAAGTTTCAGAAGAAACTATCATCAAAATGGATGTGTCCGTAAAGGAGTGTAATTAAATGGCCTGAATAACTTAGAGTTAAGAGAAAAATAATCCTGTTTTTGTTTGTTTTTTTCTCCACCATTCTGTTTAAGAATCCATTTCTTTCCTGAAATTCTTTGACTAAAGAATTTTATACTTCAGTGGACTAACAAAAATTAGGGCAACAAAATGGTTATAATTTGCTCTTTAGTCCTTTGTAATACTCATGTTTGTCAGTGTTCCTTAAGTGGGAGTTTACTTTCTGATCTTCATCGTGATAGTCTTGTTATCTGTTCAAACACAAGGATTTGGAAATCTTTTTCCAACCTTAATTGTTTAGAGCAAGACTTTAAAAGGAACCATCATAGGAACACTGAGATTTGAGTACTTAGACTCTGTGGCAAATCTCAGAAATAATGGTGGTCTTGTTTGATAATAATATGCAGAGCTACATAGCATAGGGGAGTGAATTTTGGAAGGAATATTTGTTGCAGCTTTGTATGCTGCCACAGCGCATTTGTGTTCTTGACAGTTAAAATATTCAACTAGTGTTGTTTGAAATTGGGGTAATTGTTAGTGTTGTTTCATACAGCACATGCAACACTTGTGAGTTGCTAACTTAAAGCCATATTCTATATAAATAAAGGACTAAAGCAGAAGATAGTTCTTTTCTTTAAAAAAAATTTCTCTTGTCGTCCACAGGTATTTCTAATATTTTTTCTTTGTTTCTTTATTTTTTTTTAATTTAATTTTTTGTCAGAGTTTTTCTGGTGTAAATGGGAATGGCCTTAATTAAAACAACAAAAAACCCCCCCACCCAAAGCCCTACCGCAGTTGTTTCTGTAGACAGCTATTTACTTGTTCGCATTATAGAAGAACCTTGAATCTTGGAACTGCAATTAAGGTTATATTTGGTCTTGTTATTTTTACATACATTACTGGGTATTCACAATAGATGTTAGCAAAGTTTAAGAGAAAATATCTTTAAGTGACTGTGGGAAATGCAGAAAATTAGTGACAAAGCTTAGAAAGTTAATACAAGTCTGCTTCTTCAATCTCAATGCTGTTCTTAAGCAAACTGTTTAGTGTAGCATTTTTATTTCTGTAAAGAAGTGAACAACAGTTAAGAAAACCACCAAGATGTGCTATTAAGGTTATAGAGTGAATGCCATGCAGCCAAGGAGAGAGTCACGTACTGAAGTTAAGTAATCCACTTCATGTGTGGGAAGCTGTTGTAAAAAACTAAGCGAACAAACACATCCTCAGAAGAGGAGGATCAACTCCAGACAGATCAAACACTGACAGTTGAATAGCAACAAAGTAAATGTGGAAGGATGGAGAAGACTGTCTACTTAAACTCAGTAAATTGAAACCAAATAGAAAATTTCCTATGGAGGTTTTCTACAAACAGTGTCTGTCTCTCTGTTCTTGGGAATCAAAAAAGCAAGTTAAACTTCTGTCCTTGGAGCTGAAACAAACTATGAGTTCCCCTTTCAAAGAGACAGAATATACTTTGGTGGAATGCTAGTAGACAGCCATTTGAAACAGTCCAGAAGGAACATGCTTTAGGAAAAAAGTAGTATATTTTTAAATTCATTAAGGACAGTCTTTATTGATAAAAAAGTTGCCAAAGGTCTCGGACACTGAGGTGTGTAAAGAATTGATCGCTACCAGGATATATTCTTCAACAGGGACTTCTAAATTATAAAAGATCCGTGCATGAGTGTGGGATGAAACTCTATTACACCGATTGCACCTCAGTCTTTTTTTTTTTTTCTTTTTAAAGAATAAGATATTTGAGATTATTGAGTTAAGTTTTATCTTGTCTTTATCTTACAAGATAAATATGAGGAAAGGGTTCTGAGCCTTTGAAGAAACTTCTTAGGCTATTGTTAATTTAGATTTGTTCTAAATATGCTTTAGCAATCTGTAGGTACATAATAGTTTTATCACTCCAAACACCTTTTTGTATAGACTACTGAAGAGCTGCTTGTAATGGGTTTTGTAACACAAATGTGGTATATTCAAAGTGATACCTAAATTGATGGTACGGTGCTCCTTTTAATAAAACTTTTTCCCAATAAAATGGATGATGAAGCTATATTTAGTTGTAGCTTTGTTAGGACTGGGACTTTTTGTGAAGATGAGCCATATATTGCCTTTTCTGCTGATTTGTATTTGCATAGGTTAGCTCAATATTGTTATTAATTGTGTATAAACTATTTAGCGGTTCTGTACACACACACCTGTTTTTTAATATATATATATATATTTATTTATTTATTTATTTTGCTGATGATTCCTTGCACTATGCTCTAGTTTTGGGGTATTTGGCTCTTCAGAACTGGTGACATTTGGTTCCATCTTTCTCCAAAGGTGTAAACTAGTTTGACAGACAATCTATTATGTGATATTCTGCTTAATGAAGTCAACGGATGGCCTAATAGAATTTTTTTAATCGTATCAGTTGTATAATTTTATTTAAATTATCATTAGTAACTGTGAGTCCTTGCAGTCAGCTTAATCGACATGCTCTTAAATTTTAACTTCTTTTTCTCTAGGCAGAGCTAGTGAAAGGGAATCTGCAAAGTGTTGGGCTCACGCTCCGCCTTGTGCAGTCCAAGGAAGAAGATGCAGGGCATGTTGTCATTGAAACTGTGACTCCAAACTCACCTGCTGCCGCTGCTGATCTACAGAGGGGAGACAGACTGCTAGCAATCGGCAGTGAGTAATATGTCAGCTTTTAAAATAAGTGTTGTCTTGCAAATTGGGAGGACGTGTCTGCATACAGTTCAACTAGACTGTCTTTCTCAACAATTACAGTTATGCCTGGCACTCGTAATAAAAACTAACATTGATGTATTTATGGCCACTTAATTTACCTGATTTGCTTTCTCGCATATTTATTTACTCTTTGCTAGGTGAAAGCCCAAATAAAGTTGAATAAACATTTGAATGTAAGTACATTGTAACTGCTCTAATAGCAATGCTGTGAGGTTCTTTACTTAGTTCCTTCCAGTCATGTTATAAAATGTGCGTAGTATACAAAGACAACCGTAACATTTTACAACCTAGGCCTGCATACTCAGCCTTGAACCTAAAGGTACTAAGTAGAGTATGGAACAAGCAGTATAAACATATTTTTGACTAACAGAGTAATTGTCTGAAATCACAGAATGACCCAAGAAGATCTGCTGAGTATTTGATAGTATTTTTATACTTTTAGTATCAGGTTTTGCTAGCTCTGACTTGTAGGAGCCGAAGTATTATTTAGAAATCCCTGAAGTTCCCATATTTGAAGGCTTTGGCCGAGTTGTAACCAGCAGATAAGTGCTGCGTTGAGGCAAAAAGTTACCCTTGATTTTTGCAGGGGAGAGCACTGTGTTTTTTTAATAAAGATTCTGCTGAAATCCCTGGTCATTATGAAGTGCGTTGATACTAGTTTATATTCTAGAATTTTAAATTAGACCATCTCTGATATAGCTTGAATACTTCTGTTTTATATGGACCCTGTCACCAACAGAGAACTAGATCATAATCATAAATCATAATCATAAACTGTTACTGGAAATCATACTGCTTTAAAGATGAGAGTTGGCAGGGACCTACAGAATATGGCAGTAGACAGAAGGACAAATAAACCATTAACAAGAACACTGGCTAATCAATTTAGTGGAAGGAGCAGATAGGAACCTGTTTATCATTAAGAAATAACGTAATGTTTTCTGTTCTACTGGGATTTGTGGAACTAAATAAAATGTTATTGACTAGGAATCATAAGTAGCTTAGTTTAAAGTTGTTGGGGTTTGTATACTGTCCAGGGATTTATAAAGGACTAAAAAGGAGTGGGAATATCACTGTATATTAATAACATTTTAGAAATAAGTGTAGGTACCACTGATAAAATAGAATGTAAACTGCAATCACTCTGGGGGAAAATGGTGAAGGAAATTCTGTTAATGTTATATTGTGAATGTGGAGATTATCTCTTATCGTGTTGTTGGTAGAGAAGGAAATACAGAAAGAACTGCATAATTCTGAGCGATAGTGTCACATGCAGGGATATCTGGGATAGCGCACACATTTCTTCTCCAGACATTAACTGTATAAATAAGAGGTAAAGTAATTTTATATTTGATTCTGCGAAGTCATTAAGATACTACAGAAGAGCTAGTGTGGTAAAATACTATGAAGATAGAACTTTATACACTTATGACATGAACTACTTAAACTCCCTGCGCAGTCGCATTAATATTTTAAGTTTTTTAAAAGTATTTACCTGAGAGGTCTTACAGATGAGAGCTTAACCACTACAATGAATTATTGTGGTTAGGCACTATCTAAATCCCCATTGCATTGTTCCAGTGACTTAAAAGGGGTTTGAGTTGCTTTGAACAGGCAATTGATGATTGTACTAGGACAAGGGAAAAGTCATTTTTACATGACCCCCCTGCGTGACTTTATTTGGACTGTGTGCTCATTAACATGTTTTAGCTTGCATCTAATTTGTTGAATCTTACCATAGGCTGGAGATGCTGTCAAATAGCTCTGAAAATTCTGATGAGGAAGATGATTGTTTGCTGTTCAGCCACACTGAGAATGTGGCATCATGCCTGTATTTTGTTAACATATTAGAACTATTTTCTTTGTTAGCCTTCTTCTGTTTTAATTATAACTGTATTTAAAGGTACCCATCTCTTTCGAATCCTTTGGTAAACGCCTGCTGCTGAAAAGTCCAGACTTATAATAAAACTGAGGTTAAAAATAGCAGCATATAAAATCAACGTTACTCTTAAGATTACAGCATTTAATAACAAACAGAAAACTGGACTATTTATGCTAGTATCTTTTCTAGCTCCTGAAGTGATATATTTGTATGAATAAAATGGAAAGTATCCATCTGTTACATTTCAATTAAGCTCTTCTGTAATAATTCCTTTGTTAGTGAGCAACGGTATTATTACCACTATTAAAGATATAGACACGTTTGTCCACTATTTTTGGCCATTTAGATTATCATAATTAAAATTTAATAATTTTTGTCTTTTTTTAATAGGTGTTAAGATCACATCAACTGTACAAGTGTTGAAGCTTATTAGACAGGCTGGGGACAGAGTCTTAGTCTTTTATGAAAGGCCGGTTGGGTATAATCAGCATGGTTCAGCACTGCAGGATGGATTTGGACAATTAGAAGACACTGCATTCTTGACACAGCCAGAAGATGACCAAGCTAGTTTATCAGCTGATGTTGATAACAGAGATTTTGATTCAGAATTTGAGGACTTAGCTTGTGAATCGCCTGACCAAAAAGAAGATCTGCCAACAACTCTGAGTCCCAAACGTTCAGTAGTAATACTTGCTGCTAAACCACTTGGAACTATATCTCCGATTCTGAATCGAAAACTACATTTAGGAAGTTATCAGACAACATCAAAAACGCAACAGAAAGATGGGGCTAAAGTGGCAACACCCAAGACTATTGAGGGTTCAGATGTATCACAGCAATCGGGTAAACAGTCACAAGGATCCACTACTAAGCCTCCTGTGCCACCTAGGCCACAGAGTAAGCCTATTTTGCCTACTAGTGAAACTCAAAATCTGTTAGAAACTGGAGGTGTATCTTCTGAAAAACCAGAGAGGCCACCTCCACCTACAAATAATGGAGATAAATGTACAGAGAAGGTAGTAAAGAATAATGATCAAATAGAAGACCCAATGGTATCAAAAGTAATAACAGCACCAAAACAAGATACAGTAAAAGATGGACTTTCAGAAAATGCACGTAATTCTAAAGATAGTGGAGATGATCATCAAACATGGGAATCACCAGAAATCCCTTATAAAATCCGGCAAGGCCGATGGCCAAGGACAAGAACATCTTCCTGTCTATTTGAAGTAGAAGGATACCATAAGTACCTTAATGTTGCACTATGGTGCAGAGACCCTTTCAAAGCGGGTGGTTTTATCTGCTTAGGATATGCAAGCATAAAACTTGAAGAAATTGCTTTAGATTGTATAGCTACATCCTCAATGGAATATATTAGAACATTTAAACTAGATGCTCCTACAGCTAAAGCAGCAGTCACTAGAACAGCATTGCGGAATTTGACAACCCATAAGGGATTCAATGAAAAATTTTGTTATGGTGATGTAACTTTACACTTCAAATATTTAAAAGAAGGTGAAATAGATGATTCAAACTTTCTCCTGGAGAAAGAAAGGGAATCTCACTTGGAAGAAGAAGCTCGTGCACTTCAGAAGGAGGATCCTTACTTGGGACAAATTGTTCTTACAGAGAACAAGCATAACTTTCAAGATACTCAGTTTCAGAATCCAACTTGGTGTGATTACTGCAAAAAGAAAGTATGGACTAAAGCGGCTTCGCAGTGCATGCTCTGTGCTTACGTTTGCCATAAAAAATGTCAGGAAAAATGTCTAACTGAGACACCGTTTTGTGTAGGAGCTGAAAAGCGACTTGATCGAACTGTGGGAGGCTGCAGAGCAGAAGGACAGGAAGCTCCCCAAGCTGCATCCTCTCGTGTTGATTCAGAATCTAAATCTGTTAACAGAACTACAGGCTTGACCAGGCATATCATCAATACAAGTACCCGTTTGTTAAACCTTCGTCAAGTCCCGAAAGCTCGCCTTTCTGAGCAAGGAACAGAGGTGGTAGAACCTTCGCCAAAGCACACTCCAAACACTTCTGATAATGAAAGTAGCGATACTGAAATCAGTGGGCCAAGCAGTCCTTCAAAACGTGCAACGGGTACTGGGATAAAGTTGGTCCGAAAGGAGGGTGGTCTAGATGACAGCGTCTTCATTGCTGTTAAAGAAATTGGACGTGATCTCTACAGAAGTTTACCCACAGAGGAGCGTTTTCAGAAATTAGAATTTATGTTGGATAAGCTGCAGAATGAAATAGACCAGGAGCTGGAAAATAATAATTCACTCGTTAAAGAAGAAAAAGAGACAACCGATGCCAGGAAAAAAGCCTTGATTTCTGCTGCGCTGGCTAAGTCGGGTGAAAGACTGCAGGCCCTCACGCTGCTGATGATCCACTACAGAGCAGGCATTGAGGATATAGAGTCTTTGGAGAACATGTCATTAGAGCGGCAGTCCAAAAGAGTGACTAAAGATTCAGAGGAACCCAATATAGCAGAAGAAATGGATAATGAAGATGTCAGTCTGATGGAGGCTCCAACATTCAACGTCATATCAGAAGAACCAGTTGATCCACCTCAATCAGTAGACTGATATTTACCTATTTAGCCTTTGAAGGAGTGGACTAGAAGAATACTTTGCACTTAATTACAAACATACACAAATTAAATTAAAACACTGGTATAATGTACATGTCCTGCTTCTCCACAGTTCTTTGCCTGTGTAAGAGTACAGCTAATAATGGTTCTTCTCCAGCTACAGCACCATCATTTTGTTAAACTGGCTGGTTAAAACTACATTTTGGGGTTTATATTGGAAATTTATTTTTAATAACTTATTTTTATTCTAATTATGTAACTTTACCATTTCACATTAATGTGTGTGATGTCCTTAATGTATTACTTCTCCCCTTCCCCCTTATTTTTTTTGAGCTAGTGTTTTCAACAGGAAACTGGCAGGATTTTCAAAATATTTAGTTTCCATTGTATGATGAAAAAATTATAAGCTTGTTGCATGCCTAAGCTGATGACTGACACAGAAGTCAGAGGGACCAGGCTTTAAAATGTTGATCACGGTTATTGAACGATTGAACGTCTTCTAGGTAGTTGTGTATTTTTTGCCAAACATATCATGAAAGCAAACAAAAGGTCTTTCATTTTGTCTGTTATTAATATTTACTAAAGGTAACATTGCATATCATTTGTTTTGCATATTTTTGTTAAATACGAGAACTTTTTGTAGTCTGTAATTAACATAAATTATAGTAATTCAATGCAAAAAAAAAAAATCGTCCTTAGAACTTTGGGCTATTGTATCCTGATTGAATAATACTGGATAACAAAGTACATACCAGTATCACATAATAATTTAATTGGGAAAATTTTTTAAATAAGAGACTGGTTACCTTCCAGACAAAATTATGTGTTTAAGTGTTGTTGTATTATCTGATAACCTGATAAAGGAAAATTGTTCTTCACAAGAGTTGGAGGTTTCATTGCATTCTATGAAAAAGTATGTAATGACTGTTTAAGTAATTAAAAAAAAATGCTGCAGACTTTATCATTTCAGAAAGCTTAAGGTACAAAACACTTTACGAAATAGCTAAATGTGTTCTCTCAACGCTTCTGAGTAATCATGTAGTGGTAAGTTGTATACAGCTTCTCAGACAGAAGAGACAGTCTGAGCAGAAGGATCACCTTTTTCAGAAAAATGTCCTATAGTGTATATAACATGTTTTATTTGAGTCAAAATAAGTGAGTCTAGTAGAGGTGAGGAAGAATTTCAGCCAGCAGCTTTTGAAAAGAACTATCTGGTTTTGTGCTGTTTGTAAACTGTGGATCTTAGCATCACCTCGCTAAGGCCGTTGTTCTTATTTATTTCCTGTAAACATGTCTTTTGTTTCATCTGTGTATGCCGTATAAAATATCTTCTTTATTTTAGGTACTGTGTTAGGTACTGGTATCGTTATCACTGGTAGTAGGAAAAAAAAAAAAACCTTTGTGGAAATGGAGTTGAATCTGAGATGGTAAAATAGCTCATTTAAATTTTCAGGCAGTCTATAATGTACCTCTCCATTAAATTTGCTTCTCAGTTTATTTTGTGATGGGCAAAATTAAGAAGGAATGGTTTTCACAGATGGAAAAGCATACTTGTACTTCTAAACAAAATGGTTACTTCCACTCATGCAACTACTTGCACTTTTTTTGTGAGTTCTGGGCAGTTGATAATTATTTAGTTGATGTATGGAAAACACTATCCATGCTAAAATAGGCATGTGACACTTCTGAAATTAAGCTTCAGCAAATAATCGCACAAAATTAGCTTCCCTTATTGACTAAAAATTATTTAACCTATACTTGCTTGAGATGCTTATTAAGACTTTCCCACTCCATTTTCTCAGCGGCTTACCGTTGGTGGTGATTTGCATTCAATCTCTATCAGTGTTTGCTCTTACGGACTGCTATAGAGGTTTTCAAATATATCCAAGTACTTCATTTAAACCCTGGTACACATGAAGGAGCTGTGAAAACAATGCAAATACCGATTTCAAAAACGCATTCATGGTTTTAAATTGACTTGTGTAATACAGAAAAGCTGGATATAGTTTTCCTCGTATAGTATTGCTAATGATGATTGTAAGAGATAAATTAAACGTAGTGCAATATTTTTAAGTATACTGAATGAAAAAAGGGCAAAATAGTTGTATTTTAGTGATAAGAAGGAAAACATAAATTCCTATCTGGCATTAATTACAATAAACAGTGACTCTTGAGGGGAAAATTGTAATACTACATTCCTGATGTAATCTTTGCTTCATGCTTGACTGTAAATAGCTGAAAATAAAGAATACCACAGAAAACAAGAATATCTTGACTTAATGATATCTGAATAGGTGGCAGCTCCACACATCTGCAGAAGACCTGCCTAATATGATTTTGTTGGCTATTATTTTATCATGAGAATAAGCTTTAATAAAATAGTTTTGCTAAATTATCAACTTCTTTGCATTGTGTTAATATTTTTTTAAACATTCGTATTGCAGTAGTTTATCATCTAAAGCCACTACTTAAAGGAGAGATCTTTGTGAGAAAACCACACAATTTGCTTTAAATAAAACTACTGATTGCTGCATTAATTGGGCTTTTATGCATTCTTTCTAGTTGCATATGCATTTATTTTTTCATTCTACACAGTTTAATAGTAGACACATTTCTGTCAAAATGGTGATTCCAGTTGATTCTTTGTGCACCTAGAGAAGGTTATAAAATGCTAAGGATGTTTGTGGGGTTTTTTAAGACCTCCAAGCACTGCTCGAATGATATTGCCATTGAATTATTGGTGATAGTGTCTACCACCATAGTTACTTTAGGGGAACAAATTGTCCAAGAAAAATTCTTTTGACTTGCATTGTCCTTCAGAAAATGTCAATGGATAACTAAACAGGTCCTTACTGGTTTACTAGCTCATTTTTATCTCATCAGTTTTTCCTTATAATTCCTTATCCTTGGGTTTTTTCCCCTCAGATTTGAATTAAAATGTGCATGGAAGTTTACAGCTACAAGGGAGAACTAAGGTGCGTAAGCAAATGAACTAGGTGACTTTATCACGCTTAATGTGACACAGATAAAAATAAACAAAATATGAAAGAACCCAAATTATTCCAGGACAGTAAGGGGGATTTTTTGTGTATATTTTCTGTGACTACAGTTATTTCCTGATTGTCAGCAAGAAGGGTTCATGTTTGATTACTTATTCCTCCAAAAATCTAAAGTGTCTATTTTGGGGGGGAAAAGGAGCCCAAACATGGGTGTCTGCATGGCTCTTAATGCTATCTTGCTCTTAAGTTCTGGTGGACCAGGAACAGAGTGAGAGCCTGGGGGAGCCGGACTGAGCTGTGTGGGTCTCCTGTGGGTCTCCGGAGCGAAGCGTGGCAAGACGCTGGTCTGTGAGGCTGCGGTAGGCACCGGGCTCTGTCTGCAGAAGAGGAACGTGATCGAGTCGTCTGTCCTTGAGCCTCCTGCTCACACTTGTTTTGTGTTGCAGATTAATGTGAACTCTTCCGTAATTTTGATTTGCCCAAAAGAATGGCTTTGTACTGTGCTATCTTTTTTACACATGTAGCAGTTGCTGTGTTTACGTGACGCACTCGTGAATGCAAGCGATGCATTGGTTAATCAGCTGGTAAGTAATATGTACTGTGGTAATTTAGAATTCTAATGTTGGTATATTAGTTTCAAATATAGTTGGATTAACAACTTGATGATCGAAAGAGTTCATTGAAGCGAAGTAAAATAACTTCTTTTGGGGTGAAATTTCAAGTATCCAAATGATCTACATTGTTAAAATCTTAATATAAATAACCATCAAACTGCACAACTGTTACTCAGTGGCAGTTGAAGTACTCGACCTATGACAGAATCTTGGCTTATGCTGTATTAATGTCTGTCTCCACACCCCTCGGCTTTGAAGGAAGGACTTCTGTCTGTTACTTATTCAAAAGAATGCAACTGAAAATAATACCACCATAAAACGTGTAAGTGGATTTTTCAAATCAGCCATAGGCCGTATTCCTTGGTCTTTCATGCCCCTTAAGCCTCTGATGATGTTTTCTCATCAATCTTCACCCTTATTTAAGGAATGTACCTGAGTGTCCCCTGGTACTGCACATTTTGAACTTACCTGTTTCCTAAAAGTTAAGTCTTGGACCAGCAGCCACATAACAGACTGATTTCGGAAGCTGTTGTGGTTGTTGTATGCATTTATCAACTAGAGTGAAAATGTTACTGGGTGGACTAGAAATGAGGAGTGCTTTCCCACGACCAGAAATATTTGTTGGCTTTTCCCTGCCCTAGTATACCGTAAACAGCAATGTGTAAGGCATGTCACGAGGGGGGTTATTTTTTTATTATTATTTTTATTTTATTACAATAGATAATGAGCTTCTTTTAAATAACTATTTTAATGTGGTCTGAATGCATAATTATTGACAAAGCAATACTCGAGGGCTGATCCACTATATTTTTTCATGTTTTCTGACCATAGTATATACACTTTACAAAACTATATGTAAACATAGTATCTATGCTGTAGTACATAAAACATCTGCAATTACATGAAAGAAGGCACATAAAGATTTTAATTTTACAAATGAAAAGGTACACCACAGTTGATAAGGACATGGGGTTGGTTTTAAAACTCTTTCAAAGTCTGATTTTTCTCAGTGCAGATAGGGGCTAAGATGGTGCTTCACCTGTACTAGACTGTGTCCCCAGATGTTAACAGATATTGGCGACAAACCGGTCATTTATTCTTAGCCAAGTTGATATTTTAACTTAATTTTTTGAAAAGTATGTATTGAATTTCTAGATGTATGTGCAGATGCATGTAGAAGTTTATTTGAACTGCTTAAGTTATCGGCTAACTTTCAGCACATGCTAAGAATAAATACTGTGATACTGCAGCTTTTCTTAACCAGTCACTTAAGATACATGTAAAATAAAGTTGAGATGTTAAAAATAAAAGATTCAAAATATAGAAAAAAGTATTTTCATGCTGTTCTTATTCCCTTTAAGGGAAAGGAACTGTGTACATTT